GGTGGGTGCTTTCCTGTACCAAACAGCCACGATTATAACCTCAGAGGAGAGTCTTGGCTTGAACACTGGTCTTCATCATATACCTGTCGTTGCTCATACGACGCCAGTGGTGCCTCATTAGTCGTTCGATTTCGTGGGTCCCTCCTGTGGTCCCGGGCTTTAGTACAAGTGATCTAAAGTGCCCTTGTTACTTGTGATCCTGCCACACTCCCAAGATATCAAGCAAATCTCCCACTCTTCTGCCTTGGTCCTCAACAAGCCCGACGATCGTTCTCAGCTAGATCGTCTCTTTCGAAGCTGCATCCTCATTTTGGCCTAACCCTTTTTAACCTCACTTAATCTTTCCCAGGGGCATCTGTAGACCCTCCCTTTTCGACCTTGGCTTGACCATGAAGTGTTGATTTGGCCCAACTAGAATTCGGTCAAAGCGGAAGTCAGAGAAATTGCTCCAGGTTCACCACGATGGCACTGGAGGGCGACGAAGACACCGTCATGGGAGAGGCGGGCAACCCAGGTGCGCCAGCCCAATTCGATGGGCCCTCTCAGCCATCGATTACATCTCCGCTACTGGGTCAGACTTTCAAGCTGCCTTTGTCGCGTCATCCACTCAACTCACAGCCTCTCTCTGCCTCTTCGAAGCCGGAGAATGGCGGCGGCATCTTTCCTCCTAAGAGCCTACCAAAGTCTGTAGACTCCGGTGATGTGATTGGCGACGACGAGAAAGATGATAGTCTTGTTGAAGAGAACTCTGACTGGTCCGATGGAGATGCAGTCGCTCGAACTGGCCTCCCGCTCGCTTCACTCCCCTCAGGTTTATGCTATGATGTGCAAATGCGCTATCACTGCGAAGTGCGGCCCACTGCAGACGTTCACCCGGAGGATCCAAGACGCATCTACTACATATACAAAGAGCTGTGCCGAGCTGGACTCGTTGATGATCCCGAGTCAAGTCGACCTCTCGTATCCCGGCCTCTGAGAAGGATCAATGCTCGCAATGCTACCGAGGAGGAGATTTCCCTGGTCCACACGCCTGATCACTACGCCTTTGTAGAAAGCACTCAAGGTAATGATATCGCCCCCCTTTACTCGCAGTAACAGCGCGAAAGTCTCCTAACTGGTTGTGTCAGATATGACGGATGATGAACTCATTGCGTTGGAACATACACGTGATTCCATTTATTTCAATAAACTCACCTTTGCGTCTTCAATCCTGTCTGTGGGAGGGGCCATTGAGACGTGCTTGGCCGTTGCTACCCGCAAAGTGAAGAATGCTATTGCTGTTATCCGCCCCCCTGGCCACCACGCCGAGCATGACAAGACTATGGGATTCTGTCTGTTCAATAACGTCTCGGTTGCAGCGCGTGTCTGTCAGCAGCAGCTGGGCGAGAGCTGTAGGAAGATCTTGATTCTCGATTGGTGAGCCTAGCCATTCACTTGTACTTTACATCTTATTAACATGCTGAAGGGACGTCCATCACGGTACTTGATTAAGCCCTGATTCCTCACTTGAGTTGGGTTGCATTTGCTTATATACCTTGCAGGAAACGGCATTCAGAAAGCATTCTATGATGACCCAAACGTTCTCTACATCTCGCTTCATGTCTTTCAAGAGGGCAAGTTTTATCCCGGAGGCGACGAAGGAGACTGGGACCACTGCGGTGGTGGCGCCGGTGTGGGACGGTATGGCATTCCTGCTTCTTTACCTTACGGCGACGACTGACATTGAACAAGCAATGTGAATATTCCGTGGCCAAGCCAGGGAATGGGCGATGGTGACTACATGTACGCTTTCCAACAAGTGGTCATGCCAATTGCCCAGGAGTTCAACCCCGACCTTGTCATCAGTAAGTCGATCTTTGCTCTAGCGGCTCAAGTCTCCGAGACTGACAGATATAGTTGCTTCTGGATTCGACGCTGCCGCAGGCGATGAGCTTGGAGGTTGTTTTGTGACACCAGCTTGCTATGCTCATATGACGCACATGCTTATGACGCTTGCCAACGGCAAGGTTGCTGTCTGTCTGGAGGTTTGATCATCCCTCAGCAAATACATAGAAGCACCAGGGCTAAGACGGAATCTTAGGGTGGCTACAATTTCCGGTCGATTTCGAAATCTGCTCTTGCCGTTACGAAGACTTTGATGGGTGACCCTCCGGACCGTCTGCATTCCACCACACCGTCTGAAGCTGCAACAACGACTGTGAGACGCGTGATGATGATTCAGTCGGCCTATTGGAGCTGCATGTATCCGAAGGCCCCAAAACAGGAGGGGCACTTCACTGATCGACTCCACGGTAAGAGGATTTCACGGATTACTCAATCGGCGGCTAACAAGTCTGCAGATGTCATCCGTGCTTATCAGTCGAAGCAGCTGTATGACAACTACAAGCTGACATCCCTTTACATCTACCGTACTGCCATTTCGAAGTCATTTGAGAACCAAGTTCTTGCGAGGTAAATTGATCGCTCGATGAGATACGATCCTGCTGACCGGTTACAAGTCCGAACTACCACCAGGCTAAACCTCTTCTTGTTTTCTTTCATGACCCGTGAGTATTCGCTAGCAACGTGGGGGATCTTCTGCTGACAATGAGCAGGCCTGAGATCATGAGTCTGCCTCATCCCGTTACCAACAACTTAGAGGCTCACAACTGCTGGCTGGTACGTCGAGACGGTGAAGTGTTTCCGTCAGCTGCTGACAAACACCAGGCTGATGTATTATTGAAGGACTATGTTGGATGGGCCGTGGAGAAAGGCTATGCGGTCATCGACGTCAACATCCCGAAACATGTGACTATTGATCCGGTCAGTTTCGAGTTCTCTCAGCCCTCCTCATAAATACTGACTTCTCGACAGTCTTCCGGAAAGTACGAAGATGAAGACGAGAATCGACCTACCGCCACGGAGGAGCTGGCTGGCTATCTCTGGGATAACTATATCGAGTATGCCTTCACCCCGTGAGCGCGAAGCGGTAGACCTTTGACTGACAAGTTTCCTAGACCAAACGAAGCGACCGAGATCTTTTTCATTGGCATTGGCAACGCTTTCTACGGCGTTGCCAACCTATTGATCAACCGAGGTAAGAGGAATGAGGGTCTGCTTGAATGTGAGACATGGCTAACGCCGAGACAGAGACATTGTATAAACGTGTCAACGGCGTGGTCTCCTTTGTGGCCGAGAACCCTGTCCGTGCGGTGGCTTCCCATACCCAAGTCTGGCTCTCGCGGTGGTACAGAGACGTAAGTTTGGATAAACATTTTATTTTCTGCTCGGAGCTGACAGCCAGCCTGGTGAAGAACTCGCTCGTATTCGTCTCGCACACGCATGGGGTGTGGACGAGTCTCCAGCGCAAGCCCTCCAAACGCTACGGCAAGCTCGTGCAGTCGCCCAAGGCGGGGCTGAGCGAGATGCTCATGCAGCACAAGGAGGAGGTGTACCAGTGGATCTCGGAGCGTGCGGACGTGGCGGATAGCGAGGGAACCGAGGACGAGAAGCCCAAGAGACGGTCGCCTACCAAGGGGCCTGCTACTGAGGAGGGCCAACGTGGATCGGGTGGAAGCTGAGGACGTTAGATCTAGAAATTGGTTATAGGGTTGAGGGGAGGGGTGGGGGATTAGTGGGATCGCTTGTACTAAATCCATGCATGAAATGCATAAATTCTCAGTTCCCCAGTTTCTCGGACTGTTAGGGGTAAGGGGCGTAGGAAGGGGACCATCGGCTAAGCATACTCTCTTTTGGAGGGGTGGTGTGATGGATGTCTTGTCGTTGCATGTTCCTTTCCAGGGCTTTCTAAGAGTCACACCACCCACCACCACCTGCATTCTGAAGCCCGGGGCATTAACCTGGGCTCGATCCTGGCGTTGCATTGCGGCTAAGACACGTGGGACTACCTACACGTGCTGTCACTGCTGTTGCTGCTGCTGAAGATAGAGTTAAGACCTTAGAATCAAATCCAGTAACCGAACCGTCCCTGCTCAGTGGTTGTGGTTATACCTACACTGTGACTGCTGTGGTTATTGTCTACCCCAGATTCCCACCACGGATCCTGCAAGCCATAGGTCAAGGATCTACTCATTTCTCCTAGACAGCATCCTCTCGCCTGCATGCAAAAGCATCTGAAGAAAGAATACGAGCCAAGAGACGCCGTCCAATTCTCCGAGTCTCCAAGTCTCCGACCATGTTCTCCCTTTCTTTGGTTGTCCTCCTAGAAGACCCTGGAAGACCCTGCTCAAAAAAAAAAAAAAAAAAAAAAAAGGAAAGTGAAACCCAACCAAGTAAATTCTGACCTCGAAGTTACCTGCAGGTTCTTTTATTGTTACCAAAGTGACTTTGCTTGTTCGTTTGTCTTGTGTACAGTAGCATGTGATTTTGACTCAGAATCCCGCTCTTGTTTTTGGGAGGTGTGCGTGTGTGGGGGCTGACTGACATCCATAGGGTTGACTTACTTCTACTTGGTGACGTACTTGCAGAGGTGTGGGGTAAAGTAAGACATTTCTTACTGTAGATCCCCCATCCGTGATAAACGATGGAGTTTGCAAGGTGCGGGGTTTAGTTTAGGTTGGTGTGGGTTGCGGGTGTGGCTGTGGCTTTTCTCTCTTTCTCCGTGTATCATGACGAGTACTAGGTATAACTGATGGGTTTCTTTGGTCTTGTCTCGTGAGGGGAGAATCTGGGAGAAGCGGCTTGGTGGGGTGGTTGATGTCTCTCACGTGCATGTGAGTATACTAGGGGAGTATGGGTTCAGGCGTCCATTCGGTATTGGGATGTGAACTGTGAGAGTGCGCTGTACGGTACCTAGTGAGGTAGGCTTGAAGTGAGACATTTTAGGTAATTGCTTGAGGGCCTGGTCTGGGATGCTGGATGCTGAATGTTTGTGTGGACGCAAATGTCGTTTCTGGGTATCAGGACCCCTATGAAAGAGGTATATATATCACCCCGATGCTCACTGAAGTCTTCCAAGGTTTCAGCATCATCCAGCATCACACAAGACCACCAAGCCATTTTATCCACGTGTATCGTATCAATTAAGTCCATCCACCACCTAAAATGCACCTCACCACCACCCTCACCACAGCCCCATCCGCCCTCCTCCTCCTCCTTCCCCTCCTCCTCCCCACCCTCGCCGCCGCCGCCGGTAACGCGGTCGTCATCAACAACTGCAACAACCCAATCTACCTCTGGTCCGTCGGCGGCTCCGTCGGCCCCCGCCAGACCATCCAACCGGGCGCCAGCTACACCGAGGCCCTCCACTACGACCCGGCCTCCGGCGGCGTCTCCCTCAAGATCACCAAGACCCCCGACGGCCTGTACGACGGCAGCCCCCAGCTGAACTACGCCTACACCCTCGACGGCGCCAAGGCCTGGTACGACCTGTCCAGCGTCTTCGGGGATGCCTTCGCCGGCTCGGTGCTGAGTGTCAAGCCCAGCGATACCGCCTGCCCCAAGATCTGTTGGCCGAATGGGGTCAACCCCGGTGGTAGTCAGGTTAAGACTTGTCAGGCGGGGAGTAATGAGGTTTTGACGGTTTGTGCGGCTGGGTGTTAGGGTTTCCCTTTGCGGATTACTGGGGATAGGAGGGGTGGGGAGAGTAATGCTTGGGTCTGGTTGGGCTTGGTTAATGGAAGATGTTATTCAATGAGGTTGATAATCAATAGCGTATGGCTTATGCAGAGGATAATGATGATGATGATGATGACGATGATGGCAATGGCAACGGCGCCGCAGCTACTCCTTCCATCGTAAATCCATTCCGGGACGTCTGGTCCTCTGCTTCCACCATGAACGAGGCGGCACCGGTGTAGAAGGCTCGACCCTCGACCTGGACAACCACGGATGGTCGTCCACCAGCAGATGCTGACGGCGCGAGCTCCTCGACGATCTCCGCGCGGAACTCGTCCGTCTGGAAGTGATTCGACACGAGCGAGTTGTACGCCCAGCGCTGGCCAACGGCCCGGCGGCCCTTGGCGTGGGCCAGGGCCATGCGCGCCGTCACGCACGACCCCGTCGGCGACCGGTCGATCTGGTTGTCCGCGAAGTAGCACAGGCCGGTCTCGGCGCCCGCGACGTCGCGCGGCTGCGTCCCGATGGTCGCGTCGACGACCATGACGGAGTAAAGGAAGGAGAGCCGCGGGTCCTCCGGGTGCGTGACGGCGGCGATGATCTCCGGGCAGCGTTCGAGGTACGGCTTCAGCTGCTGCATGCAGCGGGTGGTCGCGTCGAGGTCGACGGTCGACAGGCCGCCGCCGAAGCCCAGTTCCGCGGCGTCGACGATCGCGTAGAAGGCGCCGCCGTAGCTGATGTCCAGCGTGATGGAGTCCCGCTGGGCCGGTAGTTCGGGCCACCGCGCCGCGGCGGGGATGGGGATGGTCAGTTGCAGGGCCGTGGCGTAGGCGGGCGTGGACAGGAAGGAGACGGGGCGCGTGGGGTCGGACCGCGTGCCCTCGGCGTTGGTGGGAACGGTGATGCTGACGACGCCGCAGGGGGCGTGCAGCCTCAGTTGGATGGTTTGGGTCGTGGCGTTGAAGGGGAGCTGGGCGCGCCGCGGGAAGACGCTGGCGTCGTGCGTGTCGACGAGGAACCGGCCCAGCGCCAGCGTCGCGTGCCCGCACATGGTCGAGTAGCCCTCGTTGTGGATGAAGAGCACGCCCACGTCCGCCTCCCCCGTGGTCACCAGCTCCGTCGCCGGGCAGATGATCGCCCCGTACATGGCGGGGTTGCCCCGCGGTTCCAGCATCAGTTGCTGGCGGATGTGATCGTGCTGCTGGCGGGCTTGGTCCCGTTGGGCCAGCAACGTGCCTGCCAGCGGGGGGTACCCAGCGTAAATAATGCGGGTGGGCTCGCCGGTTGTGTGCATATCAATGCAGTGGATGGTGTTGGGGAGCTGGGTGAGGACCTGCGAGACGTCCATTTTGGCGGTGGTCTTTTCTGATTTAGCTGTACCTGCTGTGATGTAAAGTAGTTGAAGCTAGTTTACGGACGTATGCGGTAAGTGGTTGATGAAAGAGCTTGGGTAAATTGGGGTTGTTTATAGATCTTATCGGGGAGGGGGGGGTAGTTCTCCAGTTGGGGAGGTGAGGTTCCGTTCGGAGAGTAGATCCGGGGCTGGCATCGGCTGGTGTTCCGAGTGGTGGTTCCGCCTACTATAGCCAGTACGGTATATAGCCCAGCCCTGAAGGTAGGTACCTAGCTAGTTGTCAATGTGTTTGCAACGGCATTCCTTGTAGCATCTACGCGCCATGAAAATTGTGGGAGTACAAGAAGCACGCCATTTCTCGAGTCAAGCTGAATACGAGACATGTTGCTGTCAGCTGCAAGGGCGTCCAGTGCCACTTGGCTGGGGAATCGGGGGTTTCGCGATGGTCTCGGCGCTGTTGCAGAGTGCCCTCATTTGAGACAGAAGTATGGCGTGGAAGAACAAGAAGCACTCATTGGAAACCTTCCAAATCCACTTGCACCAAGACAGGAGCTTGAGCCAAGAGTGATTGGGCGATCATTCTCGAATCCTCGCTGATGAAAAGTAAAGTAATGTGCAACTACCACTTGCAGGGCAGGCAACAATGGCGACACGTGCCCATTTAAGCCTCACCGCTCTCATTGCCCTCACCGCCTGAGTCTTACCCTCACCGCTGCAGCATGGATGCGTCGTACTGCCACTCCCTTCTTTCCCGGGACTGGGAATCTCTCTCTCTTTCTCTTGTCACTACTTCATCAACGAACTTACCTTGACATCTTCTCATTCTGGCGCATTGACTCTCTCAATTACGGGCCTGTCTTTGAAATCGGACCGGCTCGTGTTTTCTATTTCTCCCATCTCTCCCTAAATTTCCCTTCCTGAAATATTCCTTCTCTTCCGCTACCATATCTCTTCCTCTTTACCCTCCCCCCCCCAATTCTTAACGATACCTCACCCGGTACAGTAGCTGTTAGCGGCCGTTGCTCCTTTGGACCACCTTCCTTGCACTGCATGCCTCCAAGGTCCTCTGCACCCTGCCGCTTGTGGAACCCTACTGGACATCCTCGATCTTTATCAACCCCAATTTATCGTTCATTTTCCCGATCAGGCACCTTTGCGGCGGTAGCCCCTCATTCCTACCCCTCGCCACGCTTGTTCTCGCATCGCTGGGCTCGATCTTTTGCCTCCGGTGGACAGACTCATCGTCGTTCCTCTCTCCTTTACTCTCCCACACCCGTCTCGCGTGCTCCGTTCACCACTAGCCCGGTCAAGATGGGTTCTACCAAGATGGGCACTGTCGAACGCATTGCGGAGGATCTGTTGAAGCCGGAGCTGGATGATCGCTCCTATCGCGTCATCCGCCTCCCCAATAAGCTCGAAGCTCTACTGGTCCACGACCCGGACACCGACAAAGCCAGTGCGGCCGTGAACGTCAATGTCGGTAATTTCTCAGACGCAGACGACATGCCGGGTATGGCTCACGCCGTTGAACATCTCTTGTTCATGGGCACCAAAAAGGTACGTGGTTGATTCCCCCGTCAGCATGCGGCCAGTCCGACACTAACCTCGGCTGATCGCCCGCAGTACCCCTTAGAGAACGCATACAATCAATATTTGGCATCCAACTCTGGCATGTCCAACGCCTACACGGCTGCCACGGAGACCAACTACTTCTTTGAGGTAGCCGCCACGTCGCACTCTGGCGACGAGAAATCCGATGCGCCCACTTCGCCCTCGGCCACGCAAGCCAAGGGGCCCCTCCACGGGGCCCTGGATCGGTTCGCTCAGTTCTTCGTCGAACCGCTTTTCCTGGAGTCAACGCTGGACCGCGAGTTGAGGGCCGTGGACTCTGAGAACAAGAAGAACCTGCAGAGCGATATGTGGCGGTTGATGCAACTGAACAAGAGCCTGTCCAACCCCGCGCATCCCTACCACCACTTCTCGACTGGAAACCTGCAGACCTTGAAGGAGGACCCGGAGAAACGCGGCCTCGAGGTTCGCAGCGAATTTATCAAGTTCTATGAGGCTCATTATTCAGCCAACCGGATGAAACTGGTTTTGCTGGGCCGGGAGTCCCTCGACGAGATGGAGGAATGGGTCTCGGATCTGTTCTCGCACGTCCAGAACAAGGATCTTCCGCAGAATCGCTGGGACGATGTTCAGCCCTGGACGCCGGAACATCTAGGAAAGCAGATCTTTGCCAAGCCGGTCATGGACATGCGGTCTCTGGACATCTATTTCCCTTTCATGGACGAGGAGCACTACTACGAGTCCCAGCCCAACCGTTACATTAGCCACCTGATCGGCCACGAGGGTCCCGGAAGTATCTTGGCTTACATCAAGGCCAAGGGTTGGGCCAATGGCTTGTCTGCTGGTCCTCTACCCATCTGCCCTGGTGCGGCTTTCTTCACCATCAACGTCCGCTTGACCCCTGAGGGCTTGAAAAACTACCGTGAGGTCGCGAGAGTCATCTTCGAGTATATCGCTATGATCAAGGAAGGTGAGCCTCAGCAGTGGATCTATGATGAGATGAAGAACTTGGCCGAGGTCGAGTTCCGCTTCAAACAAAAGACCCCCGCCAGTCGCTTTGCCAGCAACCTGAGCAGCAAGATGCAGAAGCCCCACCCTCGCGAGTGGTTGCTGAGCACCGGGCTTCTCCGGAAGTACGACCCGGCTTTGATCAAGGAAGCCTTGTCCTACCTTCGGCCCGATAATTTCCGCATGCTCATTGTGGCCCAGGATTATCCTGGTGACTGGGATCAGAAGGAGAAGTGGTACGGCACGGAGCACAAGGTGGAGGATATCCCCCAGGACTTCATGGCCGACATCCGTAAGGCGTATGAGACCACCTCCGCGAACCGTCTGCCCGACCTGCACTTGCCTCACAAGAACGAATTTGTTCCGACTCGTCTCTCCGTAGAGAAGAAAGAAGTCTCGGAGCCAGCTAAGACACCGAAGCTCATCCGGCATGACGACCACGTCCGTCTGTGGTACAAGAAGGATGATCGATTCTGGGTTCCCAAGGGCACCTTCAACATCTCACTTCGAAACCCTCTGGTGTGGGCTACTCCGGCCAACGTGGTCAAAGCCAGGTTCTACTGCGAATTGGTCCGCGATGCCCTCAACGAATATGCCTATGATGCTGAGCTGGCAGGCCTCGATTATTCCCTGGGTATTAGTATCTTTGGCCTGGACATCTCGGTGGGTGGATACAACGACAAAATGTCCGTGCTTTTGGAGAAGGTTCTTACGAGCATGCGTGATCTCGTTGTGAAGCCGGAACGCTTCAGCATCATCAAGGAGCGCCTGACCCGAGCCTATAAGAACGCCGAGTACCAACAGCCCTATTACCAAGTGAGCGACTACACTCGATACCTGACCGCAGAACGGTCCTGGCTTAATGAGCAGTATGCATCTGAGCTTCAACATATTGAAGTGGAAGACGTGGCTTGCTTCTTCCCTCAGATTCTCCGTCAGAACCACATCGAGGTGTTGGCGCACGGAAACCTGTACAAGGAGGATGCACTTCGTATGACTGACCTGGTGGAATCTACTTTGAAGAGTCGTACATTGCCCGAGTCGCAGTGGTACGTGAGGCGCAATGTCATCATTCCCCCTGGCTCCAACTATATCTATGAGCGGACGCTCAAAGACCCAGCCAACGTTAACAACGGCATCGAATATTTGCTGTACATTGGAGACATCAATGACGCGGTCTTGCGGGCCAAGCTGCTGCTGTTTGCCCAGATGACTGATGAGCCTGCATTCGATCAACTCCGGAGCAAGGAGCAACTGGGATATGTTGTCTGGAGCGGTGCCCGCTATTCTTCCACTACTATCGGATATCGCGTCATTATCCAGAGTGAGCGCGTTGCCGGGTACCTTGAACACCGTATCGAGAACTTCTTGAGCATGTTCCAGAAGACATTGGAGGAGATGACGGATAGTGACTTTGAAAGGCACAAGCGCAGTCTTATCAACAGAAGACTGGAAAAGCTCAAGAACCTAGGCTCAGAGACTAGTCGCTTCTGGTCTCACATTGGATCGGAGTACTTTGATTTTGTGCAGAATGAGGCGGATGCTGCCAATGTGCGGTCTCTGACCAAGTCAGACCTCATCCAGTTCTATAATCAGTTTATCAACCCTCAGTCGACCACGCGTGGCAAGCTGTCAATCCATCTCAAGGCACAAGCTACCGCTCTCGCGAGCACGCCCCAGCAGCAGAAGACCCAGCTTCTGACGCGCCTGCGCACGCTCTTGGAGAAAGCGCAGTTGGCAGTCGATGCGGACCGGTTGGAGGCTGCATTCGCTGAGGTCGACGTGTCCAGCGGCGATGAGCGTTTGATCGTGGACACCATCAAGACTGTCTTGGATGGCATGGGTCTTGCAGAGCAACAAACCAAGCAGGCCCTGGACTCGCTGGCAGACAGCGTTGGAGTAGAACTGAAGCACATCGGTATTCAGCCCAAGAGATTTGACGGGCAGTCTGGTCAGACGGTCAATGGATTTGGCCAGGAGGCTGTCACCTACATCACCAACGTCCCTGAGTACAAAGCCCGTCTGAATGTCAGCGCCGGTCCGAACCCTGTCACCGATATTAGCGAGTTCGAGGACTTTGATGCCAAGCTATAATCGCACCGACTGTTGAATCTTCGATCCATCCACTTGCTAAAACCTTTACTTCACTTATAATGATGATAGAAACTTTCTGCTGGCCTTGTTGATATTGAGGCGTGGTTCTGGAATGAGTACAGGACATCTTTTGGGACGCAGGATGAGGGGATCGATAGATTTGAAATTCATGGGATGTAGATTAGAAATATGATACATAATTGAACTCCTTCGACTGAGCCCTGAACAAAGACTTGAGATATTTTCTAAACAACCAGTTGGAGGTAATTTAGATGTTGTTGACTCCCAGTCGGTTTGTTTGCAACTTGGAGGTTAGGGCGGTCGGGGGGCGGTCGAATGTTTTCGCGGAGGGCAGCTCCGATGCCAATCGATTGATCGATCGAGCTGCGGCGGAGAGAGCATCAACTCCGCCGGGCTGTGATCCACCTCGCGACCAGCACCAACAACAACCGACCTCCTACCATCCTTGTACGCGCCGCGACCCTTTTCTCGTCACTCACTTACATCGTCTTGACGCACTCGATCACAAGTCAAAGACTTTTTATCTAAAAGCCGCATCTACCCACCATGTCGACCGCAACAGCGACGGCGATTCAGAGCTCGCGCCCGTACGTTCCAGACCCCCCGGGCGAGCTGAGCTTCAGCTCAAGGCATGGACCAACAAATACTGACGACGTTGCTCTCTACCTAGTCCCATCGCTTCCAAAGACTTCTCCGCTCAGCAACCACAAACCATTCGTCTATATCCTCTCTCGAATTATACGTTCGGGACCAAGGAGACGCAACCCGAGGAAGATCCCTCCGTCCTGGCCCGCCTGAAACGCCTCGAAGAACACTACGAGAAATATGGCATGAGACGTACCTGCGAGGGTGTTCTTGTGTGTCATGAGCATAACCATCCGCATGTGCTCATGCTGCAAATTGCGAACGCCTTCTTCAAGCTGTACGTATCATGTCCGACCGTGGAGTCTAGACACGCCTCCGTCACGACTGCGACACGACAATGTCATCAACGGTTCCCGGAACCGACTTCGTGTATCTATACGAGCAAAACTGACTCATGTGCACCGTGTTAGACCCGGAGACTACCTTCCCTTCGAAGACGACGAGGTCGAAGGGTTCAAGAAGCGGCTGAACGAGCGGCTTGCGCCCGTCGGATCGCAGTTCTCCGGCGAGGGCGTCAACGAGGACTGGGAGATCGGCGATACTCTGGCGCAGTGGTGGCGGCCCAACTTCGAGACGTTCATGTACCCATTCCTGCCCGGCCATGTGACTCGACCCAAGGAGTGCAAGAAGCTGTATTTCATCCAGCTGCCCAAGAAGAGTGAGTGCCTTATCCTTCCTCAAGCCCAATGCCCATCTCCATCGAGAGAACCGCGACTGAAAACCAGGCGGCAATGCAGAGGTCCTCTCCGTCCCGAAGAACATGAAGCTTCTCGCCGTGCCGTTGTTCGAATTGTACGACAACACTGCGCGGTACGGGCCGCAACTATCGGCGATCCCGCACCTGCTGTCCCGGTACAACTTCGAGTTTGTGGACGAGAACGACAACGTGGTGGCCGCGACGCCAGGCACACCGCTGCCGGAGGGCCACGCGCTCCGGACTAAGGTGCTGGCGGGCGACAGTGGTGATGGGCAGGATGAGGGGATGACGGATTACACTCCTGAGGGTGGGGAAAATGGCACGGTCGCTGCGTGAGGGTCATTGTGAGTTCTTTCCGAGGCTCGACAACCAAGGTGTGTCCTTTTGGCCCTCTCCCTCCGGCTCCTTGTCCTTTCAGGGATCTATGAGGATAGTGGGTAAGTGTGCTGTCCGTGGAGAGAGACATTCTTCCCCAGTTTGGAAACAACTCCGATGCGTAGCAAGGGTTGGCAGTTCTGCATGGGCTGAGACTGACAATCCTGCAGCTAGATGCGAAGACTTCCCTCCTGCCCTTCCCCCGCAGCTTAGCCTCGTGGGCTCATTTCTTGCTTGATCGATTTGCTTTTCTTTGCTTTCTCTACGCTCTTCCTGTTGCAAAAATAAAGATACGACGATGTTTCCCCCCATCTGGATGGCGTTTTCAAAGGAGCGAATATATTGCGATTGTGATTGTGATTTCTAATTTGAGGTTCTTTTTTGTTTTTTTTTTTTTTGTTTTTCGAATCTACTTTCTCCTGTTGACGGGATCTGCAATAACTACACATACTTCCGTTCTAAGGTGGACAGTGCTCTGAATCGTCGTACGACCAAGCTCTTCTCCTCTGGGAGGTTTGACTTTCGGGAGATTCCCCGAAAATCCTTGTCTTTGACAGCTTCGCTACCTCGGTTCATGTCCTCGTGTGTGCGTGTGCCTGGACAATCCGTTGTCCGCTGCATCCCATGAAAACCAGAGGACTGACCCCTGCCCTAGCCTGAACTCTTTCCAGCCAAGGTGGGGAAGAGGAACAGAACGGAGCCAGCTGATTAGCACGCCCAGGCATAGACGACTAAGTTATATCAAGCTCAACTATGAAGTCAACTATCAGGTAAAAAGTTTAAACGTCCTATGAAACTCCGAAGATACTCCAGCCAACCCGGCCGGCACCTGGAACTACATCCAGTATACGAGTACGCGCAGCGTTGCAACTCCACTCGGAAATCATTCCCACCCCGATTTCGCTCAGGTGCGCAGAGGGAAGTACGGGGGTTACATCGTACCAAATACCGACCGCGTCTATCCGAACCCCGGTGGGGTGCATACAGTACAGTTCCGTATGAGTTTCCTGTGCAGTCGCAGTGGTGTATAGGAGGAGCAGCATCCAACCCAGGTCTGGTATCTTCTAATCCTTCTGTGGGTGGATAACGCACTCAAGCAGGCAGGTATCCCGTTGTCTGTGTCTGCCTAGCGCAGAAGCTATAGTGCAAGGGCAAGTGCAAGTCCAGGTGCGCAGTGCGGTGTTTTGTCAGTCTAGTATATCCTGCACGGGAGTTCTTTAGGTTGGGGGTTTCCCCGCAAGTTGTGATTATTCTAGCGTCGTGTCTGAACCAACGGGAAAGGCCGTTTAATTTACAGGTTGTGGGTTAGACTAGGTGTCCGGCACATGATTTTAGGCCCAGTGGCTCTACCTAGTTTTAGCACTCTTAACAGAGATGCCGAGGGATGAGGAGGGGCTGCATGCTGGGGCTGTACTCTAGATATGGGGTAGAGTTGGAAATGGGGGGGGGGGGGTGAAGATTATGATGTCATTTCTTGTTCGGGATTAGATTAAATTGAGGAACTGTACTGTATACTTTGTTTATGTATACTCTGAACTGTGATATGTTGAGGTTGGGGGGGGTGTCTTGCATTGCACTGTAGAGTTGAACAGGAAAGAAGGTTGATTGTTTATCCCAAGGTATACACTGAACTACTGGCTACCGGGATTAGCTAGGAAAACGGAACAAGAGGTCTCAGTCCAAGCCTATGGTGTCTGAGAGGAAGGAAAGGATCTTCACTCTTCGTCTGAGACACATAGGCAGATACACCGCAGTGCTTTTGTGCTTTTTGTTTGTTCGGTGCATCCCATCGGAAGGATCAGATTCCCTGAGGCTCCGCTCCGGACCTTGACCTGGACTACTCACTACTCACTACTCACTACTCACTACTCACTACTCACGAGGGCTGAGACAGGGTTGACGGCGTGCAAGGATACACATTCAAGCATGTGAAACCACCGAGAGGTCTGACTGGATACTGTACTATACATACAGCCAGAGAACGATGACTGGTTGCTTCGCAATCGGCCTGAGCGTGCTCATTTCTCGTGCTGGGGACGAATGATGGTGGCCGTGTTCCTGGGTTGGTTGTTTGCTTGCGAGTGAGTGCCAGCCCGCGCGCTTACGCTCCAGCTGCCCAGCTACCCCTTGTAGTTCTATGTCTACCCTGCCCATGTACTGGGGGCTGGTGTACACTCCCGATACTTCCCGTCGGTTGATGCTCTCTTCTCGGCGAGGTGTTCGTTCCGTCCTGCTCGCTCTATGTATCCCATCCGGATCCAGTTACCATCCGCGTGCCCCCGGGTCTCTCTGCACGCCCACTTGTTCACTCTATTATACTTTGGCACGTAGAGCTTTAGTCCATTGCGATTTTTCTCTTGGAGGAAGAATCATTGGATGCTCGACGTTGCCCGGAGAAAGTGGACTGATGGTCTCTACGTTTACCGCTGTGGATATCCTTCGTTGTGGGGGTGGTGGAGCCCGGCATTCCAGAACATAACGGAGTCCGCGCAGGAATCCTCCTTTCTTTCCCTTTGACTCCGGGGTGTCCGGGGCCAAGTGCTCGTTTCTTTCGGCGGCATGCGTCTGTCTCTCTCTTGAGCTAGGATGGGGAGGTGGAACCAACCACTGGGGAGGGATGGAGGGTGTTCGTGATGTGCTTGGGTTTCCCGTTGTTTTTTTTTTCTCTACCCCGCTCAGTTTGTCTCTTCTCTTCGGAATGCTGGGGTCTTCATTGGCGTTGTGATCGAAGAGCTGATGGAGGCTTTATTTCCTATTTTTTTTTTTTTCTTTTTTTTTTGCGCTTCTTGGCCTCGGCATGAAGAAAGGGGGAGGGGCCGAATTGGCACGGATTGCTAGCTGGATATAAAGAGTCATGGGGGCGAGGGGAATAAGAGGGCTTCTTTTCGTTCTGTGCTTCGGATGTGCCAGTGTTGGTGAAGCGTCTGCGTTTGCTGATATCACAAGGTCATTGACGCTGCTCCTTGCCTGTTTGTTTTGGATATCGACTTGATCTGAGTTGGTACTGTATATATACTCCCAGACTGCAAGCATGGTATATATCACTCGTTTGGGTGGGGTGGTGGCCGCTCTTGCGGCCTTGGTTGTGGCTGCTCCGGTTGATATTCGAGGTGAGCAATCTGCCTGGGGATCAATTGGAAAGTGTGTTGGTGGAAGGAGAGGAAGTGCTAATGAAGCCGAATTACAGATGTCTCGACCACTGTCTACACGCAGCTGGATCTGTTCGCGCAGTACTCCGCTGCGGCGTACTGTTCGACCAACCTCGATTCCCCGAATACGAGCGTGACTTGCACGAACGGACTTTGTCCGTTACTCGCAGCCGCCACGACCAAGAGTCTGGCCGAGTTCGAGGCGTATGTTCTTGCCTGCATCGATGTGGCGCGCGGAGGTGCGAAAGAGAATTGGACTAACTGATTTGCGCACGTGTAGTTCCGATGCCTACGGCGATACAGCGGGATTCCTCGTGGTTGACTCCACCAACAAGAAGCTGGTGGTGTCGTTCCGCGGAAGCAGCTCGATTGAGAACTGGATCGCCAATTTGGACTTCATCTTCACGGATGCCAGCGCGGTCTGCAGTGGCTGCCAGGTCCACCAGGGCTTCTGGAAGGCCTGGAGCTCTGTGGCGGACGCCTTGACGGCGGAGATCGCGTCTGCGGTAACCGCTTACCCCGGCTATAGCCTGGTGTTCACGGGGCATAGTCTGGGGGGAGCGTTGGCGACCATTGGCGCGACGGTGCTGCGGAATGCGGGATACTCCGTTCAACTGGTGGGCCTCTTCATGTAGTAAGGGCTGGTGACAACGTTTCGTTGCTGACAAGAGGACAGTATTCCTATGGAGCTCCCCGAGTGGGCAACACGGCGCTGGCCAACTATATCACGAGCAAAGGCTCAGGCTCGAATTTCCGAGTTACTCACCTCAACGACGTCGTGCCTAGGCTTCCACCCAGGCTGCTTGGTTATAGTCACCCAAGCCCGGAATACTGGATCACTAGCGGGACTGGTGCTGCAGTGACCTCGTCGGATATTGATATCATCCAGGGTGTTGACTCATCTGCTGGAAACGCGGGGGAGAATATCACGAGCGTGCTGGCGCACCTGTGGTACTTCATCAGTATTGGCACTTGCTAATCGTTGTACCTGTGTGAGGTATGAGAAAATGTGGGTATATAGGACAATAAGTGTATAGGGCAACGTGTATATGATGATTCATGAAGTGTGCAGTACGAAGATGCTCGAAATGGCCCTTTGGTAACAATTCCTTGGTTCTTGATGATGTAGACTATTGAATGAGGTGGTAGGAGGATGAGTAGAGTACACATGGTCAGACTACTTCCAGCGGTCAAGACACGTTATGCCCGTTTGTCTGGGATGCTACAGTATACGTACGTATACGTCGAAGAGGGACGGAGGTGCTGGTACTCCGGTGTATGGAAGTAGGGCTGAGCCGAGCCTGGCTGCCAAACCAGGCGCGGACCCGGGCAATTATTCGACCGATTACTGCCAAGCAGCATTGCTGATGGAGTTAACCACGGCCAGGGAACACAATGTCTCTAATAGTGAAACCACCATGTGGCTTGACACCACCTCCTCTCTTCCAGGCAACATAAGCTGCCAGCTGTCGCCAACTCTTCTTCCTTGACTTCACCAACCCTGCAAGGTATCCCCTCGTTCTTAACGTGTTATCTACACCCGCAGACTCCTTTCATTCACCGCTGCGCATCCCCGTAAACCATTAAGCCCCGGAGCTCCACTGACCGAGTCGTTGCCCGCTCCGCAACACACCGACCGGACAGCTCAGCGATCGACCTTCCGCGCAGCCATGCTTCCTGCGCATTGAAACGTGACTTATTCGGATACTCAATTACTTCTTGCGACCATAGTGGCTCCCAGCATATGCTCTCGTACCCCGTTCGCTGCGTGTCACCTCTACGCTGCCGCCGGTCGCAACCATGTTGTTCTTCGGCAGCGGAGTCTCCAGCCCGCGCCGCCGCAGCCAAGAAAAGGCCATCTTGTGCACCATCCTGATCGTCTACGCGCTATACTTCCTCTTCTTCTCCAAAAGCTCCGAACATGCACATATCGATACCTCGGCCCACGATGCGGTGTCGAAAGGCGGACCATACCGCGATTCGCGCTCCGGGCAAGCTGCACCGTCTGCATCGGCCGCGCGACTCTCAAAAATCCTTGACAGGGAGATGGTGGTGGCTAGCATGAAGACTGATGATGTTTCATGGCTGTACCAGTATTTCCCGGAGTGGCACAAGAGCGTCTATGTGGTGGACGACAAAAAGGCGCAGTTGACGGTCAAGCTGAACAAGGGCCGGGAGTCCATGGTCTATCTAACGTGGGTCTTGTGAATCGCGATCGGAGTGGTGTGAAGCTGGTGCTAATGGGAGCGTCTCTAGATACATCATTGACAATTACGACAACCTTCCCGATTCGATCCTCTTTATTCACCCTCAGAGATACCAATGGCATAATGACGATCCTTATTACGACGGGGTGCCGGTCCTCCGCAATTTCCAGCTTCCCTACCTGCAGAAACAAGGCTATGTTAATTTACGCTGTGCCTGGATCCTCGGATGCCCGGCGGAGATTCACCCGTACACCGATTCGCACCGAGATGACGTCCATGTCGGAGAGTACTTCAAGAACGGATTCAAGGAGCTCTTCCCCGGGGAGGAGGTTCCGGAAGAAGTGGGGGTCTCGTGCTGCGCGCAGTTTGCAGTCACAAGCTGGAAGATCAGACAACGGCCCAAGAAGGACTATGAACGATTCAGGAAGTGGTTGACGGAGACAAAGCTCCCAGATGATCTCAGCGGACGTATCATGGAGTACTCTTGGCACAGTATGTTGACCTTCTGCCATTTGTGGCTGTATACACGAGGCTAACATGCAGGCAGTGATCTTTGGTAAAGGACCCGTCCACTGCCCGACGGCTGAAGAATGCTACTGCAGGGTATTCGGGCTGTGTAATTTGGATTGCCCGACTGAGGGAGAGTGCGCTGGCCGCTATGTTCTCCCGCCGTATTCCTCTCTGCCTGAAGGATGGCCGTACATCGGATGGAAGGGCCAGAAACAAGACCCCAGCAAGGGGTTGCCTGAGACATAGGCACTACGTATAGTGTGATTGTTAGGAGAATCATGCCAAGCAATATGCCTCGACCCGTGGTCAGCCCGAGTATACACATGTCTGTGTCGACTACATTGAGCAACAGACCGGCCTGTCTCATTGAGATGGGCCATCAAGCCCCGGTTGGGAGAGCGATGGCACGGTGATTTCTGCCGTCCGTTGTATCAATGGCCCTCGCTCCATCTATGGATGGAGGAGGATAATACCCCAGATGATGCCATCTTTGTACTTCTATCACACCATAATCGGGATTCGACTCTTTCTCAGCTCGCGCTGAAAGTGCCAGTATTTGGGCTGAGCGATGACCCGCGTTGGCTGATGCGGCGGTGTGGTGATGGTGATGTGATGATGTCAAATGTTCTCATATGAATGAAAAGTACCCACTCTTATAATACTCTCAGCCTTGTCAGAAGATTTTTTCCAGATTCCAAGGTTCTGATATGTAACCTTGCAGCATGAACCCCTGTTTTAGTACAGTAAGTTACAGAGTAGAACCTCCCCCACCAATGTGCAGCAGCCGAGGCAGCGCGGCGGAACCGGGAGCTTTCCCCGCGCGAGCGAGTCCGTCCCCGGAACAACAAATCCTCGCCTCCAAGGAAACCACCACCTCCTACCCAGCAGCCTACCTACCTCCAACCTCAACCCATTCCCACCCAAACAGCAATCACCACACCGTACCCACCGAACCGCGAAAACCCTACAGAACCAAAAAACAAAAAAAGAAAAAACATGTTAATAATCGGCCTAACCGGCTCCATCGCCACCGGCAAATCGACCGTCTCCTCCCTCCTCTCCTCCCCGCCGTACTCCCTCCCGATCATCGACACGGACCTGCTGGCTCGGAAAGTCGTCGAACCGGGCACGGAAGGCTACAAGGCCATCGTCAACTACTTCGGCCCGACGACCCCAGACCTCCTTCTCCCGGCGTCGCCGCCAGATTCTGCCTCCCCCAATGACACCACCACGACCCCCACCGACCCGCCCAGCGACAGCACTCCCCGCCCCCTCAACCGCCTCGCCCTCGGCCGCCGCGTCTTCGGCACAACCGAGGACCGCAAACGCGACCGCATGATCCTCAACAAGATCGTGCACCCGCTGGTGCGCCGCGAGGTCTACAAGGCGCTCGCGGCCTACTACGTGCGGGGCCACTGGGCCGTCGTCCTGGACGTGCCGCTGCTGTTCGAGAGCGGGATGGATCTGATCTGCGGCACCGTGGTGGTGGTGGGCGTGCGCGACCCGGCCGTGCAGATGCAGCGGCTCCGCGCCCGCGACCCGCATCTCTCCGCGGAGGAGGCCGAGAATCGCGTCCGCAGTCAGGGCGATGTTGCCTCCAAGGCGGCGCGCGCGGAGTGGAGGGGGGAGCGCAGGGGCTTGGTGGTGTGGAATGATGGCAGCAAACAGGAGTTGGAGGGGGAGGTGCGGCGCGCGTTGGCGGTGGTGCAGGCGTCCAGTCCGCGGTGGTGGGCTTGGGTGCTCTTGGTGCTGCCGCCGGTGGGGGTTCTGGCGGCGGTGTGGAATCTGGGGGTGAATTTTTGGGGCCGGAGGGGGTGGGAGACGGTCGAGAGGGAGAGGGAGAGGGAGAGGGTCAGGGCGAAGATTTAATGGAGTGGATGGTTTGACTTGGGGGCAGGCTTGGTTGGGTTGGTCTTGCTTGGTGTGATGGCTTTTCGGGGCGTGGGGCGTTGGGCGTTGCTATATGTATGGTGCTAGAGTTTGTGGATGCTTTTGTGGATGCGTTGTTGGGCATGGGTTTGTGCTTTGGCAGCGAATTGGTTATACTTGACTGCTTGGGAACTGCAAGATACTACTAAGGTATAGTTCGCTTGCTGCATGTAAGGGGATGACCTGAACTGGCTTGAACGCTGGGTCTGCCATGTGATTTCCACATTAGGCAGGCAGGCTGGGACTACGCCGTCCTCATATCCCGATCACCACTTGAACTCTAAGGCATCAATGCTGCAGGGAATCTTGAACGTTGGCTTTTGTCTTCAGGTATGTATATATTGAAAGAAGTCGATTTAAAGCAGAGTTCCTGTGCCGTCTGGTTCGATAGACTGACGGCATCCAGAACAGAACGCCGTGTTTCACTTCTCTGCTCGCTGCGAACCATATGGGACTCTGCGGCTTGACCCCGGATTACGAGAGCTGGGTGGAGTCCAGGAACGGCCGCCTGCGAAGTCTGCGACGTCAACAAGATCCCACGGCTACCAGGATCCTTCTGCCGCCAGGATATATAATCCACAGAGTTCGCGAAGCGGAAGACTCGTCCAGTCACTCATCTCTTCGAGAACGAGGTTGGAACTTATCCATTGATGAGAAAGAACCGTCGTCTGACTTGTTAAACATACCAGGTGCATCAGACCCTGCCAGAGCGAAGACCAACCTCCATATCGAAATCCAGAAAAGTCCTCGCCCAGACGAACGCCGCGAAGAGGCTGTGCCAAAAACCCAACCAGAGTGCCGCCTTCAAGCACCACGGATCCTGACTCTTGAAAGACTGCCTAATGGACTATATAAAGCGCGGAGACCCCACCACTCCAACGAATCGAGCATTATAGATCTCCGAGCTTCTCGGAACCTGAAACATTCCACAGCGCTGCCTTCCTATCGGGACAAATCCACTTGGACGGGACCCAATCGAAGAGATGTTATCGTGATCAGCTCATCACACAGCAGACAGCCTAGCAGCAGGAGAAGCGGGGAGGCTGGGCGCGGTACACCTGTAGAGTCTCCACGCAGAGTGCGGTTCTATAGAACTGCAGACGACGACAATGTCCAAGATAATGAGACCGTGAACGGCAAGGTTTCGAGCTGGTTGCTGCAGGATGACGAATTCTGGTGACGGCGTGCTTGTTGACACAGTCGTTCTCCCCTGCCTTGACCAAACCGTCCATAAGATCGCCATGAATTGTGAGTATCCACGGAAGAATTGCCAGGTCCACAGAATATCGATAAAAGCCCATGTCATGTATGATTTATGATCCACTGTGTCGCAATGCATGTGTTTAGATTTATTTGTGCTTGCGTTTCTTCTGTTTCTTGTCGCCGCCGCCGCCGCCGCCTCCATGGCGTCCTCCGGAGATACTCGTCAGTGCTGACAGTTTGACGGGCTGAGGCTTATTCTTTTCCTTCTTCTGAGCTTTCTTCTTTGCTTTCTTAATCATGGCGTCCATATCATTAGGGTCAGCTTCGCTGTCGTCATCCTCATCAGATTCCTCTTCACCTCCTCCGGCCTGCTATGCGTGTTAGTGGGCATCGACTGTCGTCATGTCATAGAGACCGTTAGCACTGACCGCGCTCTTCTTCTTTCGCTTGTAGTTGCCATAGGCCTGTCGACCACCGTAAACCATCTCATCATCATCCGCATCCAAGGAGCTGTCGGCGACGACAAACGGCTGGGGTGCAGGTGCGTCGAAGCCATAATCCAGCACCCATTCCGTATCACCCGACTCCGCGGCTTGTCGAGCAAGCGCTTCCTTCCGCTTTTCCTCCTCGGCAGCCAGGGCGGCTGCGACAGCGTCCATATCCGATTGAGGGGTCGACGGGCTTTGTACCGATCCCGTCGAAAGTCTTTGGCGCTTCGAGATTGGCGTAGTGGAAGTCTCACCAGAAGACTGCGGCGTGGACTTTTCAGCCGCGGCGCGTTGCATGAACTGTGCAAATTAGCATCGTGCGCAAGTAAATTAGATAAAAGGTCGCATACCTTCATCGTCAGCAGACGAGAAGACATGGTCTTCTCTGGCTTTGCGCCAGGTGTCGAGGGGGTAGACATGACGGCGATGAGGTCGATCAGAGCGTGAAGTGATGTGAAGATGAAAGAAAAATATCCACAATTCCAAAGCCGCACCCGCCTAAAGAAGGGTGCAACTCGAGGACCAGCAGAAACGCCTCGATTGCAAAGCAAGAAAATCGCGGGCGGCAGAATCCCACCGCATCCGCGGCAGGAGCGGCGCCGATTGGCTAATTCCGCTACTGCCAGCTCCCGCCCGCAGACTCTCACCATTGAGTGGTGGTGGTGGAAACCTCACAGGCTATTGCAATCCTCCTCCCCTTCAATCGACCCGGACTCGTCCATTGTCATCCTCCGCCCTCACCACCCCCCACCCTACCTCTTCTCGACCTCTCTGGGACCTCACTCTCGCCCAGCATGATGAACTGCGTCCGCAGCCGTGTCGCGGCTTTCTCTACCGCCTGGACCCCTCGGGTCGTCGCCCGGGCCAGCTACTCGACCACTGTCCCTCGTCTCAGCGAGAACACCCTGCACGCCAACGACCCGACCCCCTCCAAGCCCGTCCCGAACGTGTCGGCCACCAATGCCACCCCCGTCGACTCGATGGGCGCATGGGACAAGCCCCTGCAGGAAACCCCCGAGATTGCGGAGCGCACCCGCAAGCTCCAGGCTCCCAACCGGGCCACCACCTGGGCTGCCAGCCAGCAACCCCGAGAGAAGGCCATGGTCGGCCCTCGCTTCGAGCAGACGATAATGGAGATGCAGGTCCGTGATATCCCGAGCCATTGGATTCAGGAGAGGACGTTGGGATGAGTCCAGAAGGCGCGAGAGACAGAATCAACCGGAAACTGACATATTCTGTGCTAGCCCCAACCTTACGCCGCCATTGAGCTCATCCACAAGCAGCCGGTGCGCTGGACGAAGAAGCGGGTTGTTGAGTGTGACGGCGGCGGCGGTCCCCTCGGCCACCCCCGGATCTTCATCAACACCGACAAGCCCGAGATTGCTACCTGCAACTACTGCGGTCTTCCCTTCGTATGTTATTTTACCATGCTGCTGTGCATTGCAGAGTGCTAATCCGATGACATTCAGGCCCACGAGCAGCACCGCGCATACCTCAAGTCTCTCCCGGCCACTAGCTACCCCCTCGAGCCCACTGGTGATGCCGCCGAGGTGAACGAGAACCAGCGTGTGACCGATAGTGCCTTCGAGCAGCGGTAAAGAATTGCTTGCTTTTTCCTCCTTTGGCGTTGATGATTTTTTTTTTCTTGCTTGTCGTTTCCCCCGTTTGGCCCCCAGGCTGTTGTACAGATGTACCGGACAATGAAGTTGTTAGAACGAACCATTCCATTAAAAGTCGATGTAACCTCTTTGGCTACTTCAAACAACACTACACGAGACCCGAAACATAGTTGTTCGTACTTCTGAATTGTGAATTGGAGGCTGGATGCTATATACCACCCATCACAAAGAATACCACCCCTCGAGCCCTCGAACTCACGCCTTCTCACCCTGAATAGTAGCCACCACCTTCCGCGAGTGCCGACTCGTCCGGAATTCCAAATACCAGATCCCCTGCCATGTCCCCGTCGCCAACCGACCGTTCGTGATCGGGATCGTAACCGAAGCCCCAACCAACGCCGACTTGATATGCGCCTGTCCCAGTTTAAACCCAGATTAGTTTCATGTTACAACATTACCAGTAACAGTACCCATATCAACCCCCCTCCCCCCAAAGCACAGCATCTTCCAAGGGAAAGGCCAAAAACAAACCGGCATATCATCCTCCCCCTCAGCGGAATGGCGGTACAGGGTCCCCTTCTTGTCGTAGGGGGCGATGCGGTCCAGCGCGTCGCTCATGTCGGCCCGCACGTCCTCGTCCCAGTTCTCGTTCAGCGAGAGCGCGCAGCTGGTGTGCTGCACGAACAGGTGCAGCATCCCGACTTTGTAGTCCCGGATCTCGGGCAGCTCCGAGAGCACCTGGTCCGTGATCAGGTAGCTGCCCCGCGAGCGGGAGGGGAGGGTGAAGGATTTTTGGAACCAGGACATTTTTTTTGGTGGGTGTCTTGGGAGAGGGGGTTAGTTTGATTCTTTTGGGGGGGTTATTGGGGAGGGGTTAGGTGGTGGGTGAGTGAAGTGAGAGGGGGTCAAGTGCTTGATTTTGAGAGAGGGAGAGTCACGTACTGATGCGATAGATGGAGATGTAGGAAAGGAGGTGGGATTTGGTGGTGTTGACTTTGTTGGAGCTGAAGGTTGGAGCTAGACTCAGAGGAACGAATTTCAGGTGGGGGAGGAGAGACGGGTCCGTCGACGTCATTTGCGAGATCCGCGCATTATTTATCGCTGCAATTCTACAGGCTCTCCGCGTCGACACTATACACAAAACATTGTCTTCATTACATGGCAAAAGGAAGTCTATTGTCCTTTCCGGATCTATACCCCCAAAGAATACCGCCCCGTTCCTCATGAAGCCGAGCACACGCTTGCCTGCACAGACGGAGGATTGCTGGTCGCCGAACCCCAATCCGTGCTGCCCAAGGCTTTCCCTGCCTCGGTGGAATTATCCGATCGAATCTTTTTTGGGCTGTCTGTTAGCAGAATCGACGAAACGAAAGGAAAACTTACATAGTACTGCTGCTCGACATAATACCACCAATCATTACTCCGAAACGCATTGTCCGTGGACTGGCTGATCGGGTCGACCCAGACCGTATCCCTGGTGTCGAAATGCGCGTGCTTCGACCACGAGACATACACCTTCGGATGGTCATTCCCACGCACCCCTTCCGGTGCACGCGCGTCGCCAGCCGCGATCTCCTCGCTCGTCAGCGTGCTGTGGATCTGACTCCAGGCTAGATTATGGTAGCCGCTATGAGCGGAGAGCAGTGCGCGAGAAGGCGCCCACAGCTCGTTCGCGTCGCGCGAGTGCACGATGATGACTCTTTCCCAGTCACTACATCTCCGAGATTAGGCCCGTTTGATGTTGCCGAAAGACAAACAGCCGCAAGCGGTACACTCACTAGTCATGACCGGTGTCAATGAGGTCGAGCACCTTGGCCCCGTCCTTCTCATAGAAGAGATTATAGACCACGCGCACTTCGGTCTCATTGCACCGCTGCACGGTGTAGTAGATCGGGAACGCTGGGCCGGGATTCCCGGCGTCGACGCCCGGGTTGCGGCATTCGCAGCCCACGTCGGGGTATTCGCATTGCGGCGCCGGTGAGGTCTGGTGCGCCGCGTCGTATACGTCGGGCGAGCCCGGCGAGCCCCCGAAGGCCCAGGTCGGGTAGCATGGCACCTCGTGCAGGGCTTGACCGAAGAACCAGAGCGGCGCGTAGCGGTCCGCAAGCTCGACGCCGTCTTGGTTCAGCAGGGTTTGCATGTCAGCGTCCGTGATTTGCGTGACGGCTAGCGCTTGGGCGGCCAACGCCGCGAGCACGGTGCTTCGGCAGGCTGGCCACATTGTGGAAAGGATCTATACATGGATCTGGGGGCCCTGGATGTTGGCATTGTTGCGTGGTTGTGCGGAGAGCAGTCTTATAGATGTATCTCAAATCATCACATCAGCCTCGTCGGCTGACAACTCCGCGCTATACCGACTGATTGAACTTCTGAAGTGGATATCCTCCGATGGGCTTCTCACATTAGGGGCTCGGGACTTCCGTTGACTGATGGACCAGCATGACCCATGCCTAGGGTGACATCGGGCCGGGGTAATTGGAACATGAGCATGCAGTGCCATCACATTTGCATCGCGCCTGATAGGGCGGCCGGCGACGCCCAGCCTGACACCGGCTTCCCCAACACCAGCATGTTTCTCCTACAAGGAATGTGATTGGTTTACTCACATGTCGATCACGTTTTTGGTCTAACATATGACTATCCATAAAATTCCTAGTATACATATCATGCTGATCGTTTATCGTGCACTCGTCTGACTCGTATCGCTGACCAAAATCGTGTACGTGGTCCAGGGTGGTCACAGGTTATTAGACCCAGAGGATACTGCTTCCGATTCTTATTCCGTGGGCTTGCCCATATCATCGACCCTTTCACTGTCTTCGTCCATCCCAGCCCACTTGGGCTTGCCATCTGGGATCTCTACGACCCGCTGGTTGTAGAAGATGTGACAACTAGGATACCGCGTTAGCAAAGAACGAGCAGCTGCATCCCCCGGCGCACGCTCGCGCGCGGGGTGCAAGAAGAACATGACTTACTCAACCTCAAAAGCCTTCCGCCACTCCAGACGCTCTGCGTCGGTGTCTCCGCACTCGATCGTCTCCGGGAACAGCAGACAGACATTACGTCCCTCGTCCATGATCGGCGACCGGCACCACGAACAGAAGACCTTGGTGGGGAGGGAGTAATCGCGGGTCTTGTTGGTGGAGGAGTAGAATGCAAGCCCCTCGGCGCCCTTTTCGAAGAGCAGGTTCTCCTTGTGGAAGATGGCGGCCCATTGGAAGGGGGCGGCTGGGGGAGGGGGGGGGTTTCAGTTAGCTATCATCCGCAGCGTCTTCTGCTTCCATCACGATGAACTCACCATGGGTCATCTGACACCCGCGACAGTGACAGAACTTCGCCTTGAGTGGCTTCTCCTTGTTAAGCTTGTATTTTACTTGCCCACACTGACACCTGCCGCGCCACTTGACCTCGCCGAAGTCCTCGGCGGACCGGTGCTGGTAAGGCGGGCGCTGGGCCATGTCCTTGGTGCCTTCGGGTTTGTCCGACATCTCGGTCGAGTTGTTTCTGTGTTGGGTCGTTGAGATGAAGCGCAGGAATTGAGTGCTGCGGGCTGTTGTTGCTGCTGCTGCTGCTGCTGGCTGGTAGAATTTGGGGGTTGGGCGAAGGATGGGGGTCCAGAGTCGAAAGGGCGTCGATCGCATATCACAGAGAATGTAGGAAACTACGATTGTCGTTCAATTTGAACCACGAAACTAAATGTCGTGTGACTCGCTGAGTATCTCCTATTTATACAAGAGACTGTCGTGGGCTTTTCTGTGCAGGGTCTGGAACTGCGGATGATGTCATGACGATGTATTCGATGACGGACGTGGGCTGGGGGGCTTGGAAACAGAATGGCAAAATGACAGAATTATTGCGACGGTTGTTGAGCTGCTTGGGACTGGAAAAAAGGGTCTAGGGTGTTTTCTGGGGGTGAAGAATTGAGCGATTGTAAATAAGCTTAATTAAGGTCTGGCTGGTTGCTGGTGGGTGCAATCAATGGCAGTTAGTGGTTTGGGTTAGTGGCTTGTTACTATGAATAAATCAGGCTGTCAACCTGGGGGGAATCGCTGCGATGGCTGGATCTTAACTGGAAGCTTTGTCATCGGATTGTAATGTACGTGCGTACTTAGTATCTGCCCTATCGTCCGTCTGAAGGTGTTGTGTCTCCGATCGTCTCTGTTGGGGACTTCGTTGTCACTCTAGGAGGTGTTGAGTGCCGTACAGATAGATGTATTTACCGCCCAAGCGAGCCTACCAAGGCGTTTACTTCAAACAAGCATTGGATTCAAGACGATGACGATGGGTTCATGTAGCTTGATATGCAACGAAGAGGATCAGACGTAAAGGTCTTTATATTGCTGGTCAGATTGTTTTGAGAGGGCATATCAAGGAGGCGAGGTAAGGATATCAGCACAAGTGATGCAGCTACTATGAAGCGTGGCTGGCCCGTTTGTCATTGTGGCTGGTTGAATGTCTTGTGAGGGGCTAAGCATTGATGCTAGAAAAACAGGACAGAAGATCTTGATCAGATCGAGGATTGGCAATTAAAAAGTGGCGGTCTAATGTATTCCCATTTCTCAGGGTTGATTGGGACCGGATCCTGATGCTTTCCCAACTCAGCCACGGAGCCCAAGTATAGCATTATAGCCGATGTTTTGCAACCGGAGTTGCCGTCATTTGTCTATTCCAATGGGTGACTATGGGATAAATAAGGGATACATTGTGAACCATGACTGCATGGACATGACAATGGAAATAGAAATGGAAATACTGACGTTTGATTGCAAAGCCAACGAATTCAACACTAGACCGCATTGGTCATCCCATACAGCCATCTTCCTTCCCTCAGCTTCCTCTCTTCTCCCCCGTTCGGAACACAACGTCACCTCAACAAAAAACAACAAACTCTCACCACTCGGAAGATATCCTGACAACCTGTTCTCACTTCCTCTGATCCGACCCTGCAAGATGAAACCCACCCGTTCAGTGTCAGGAAGCACTCTCCTCCACTCCAACTCAACCTGAAACCCCCGCCCTTAATATAGGAAACTCTTGGCGGGCGACACCCTGTCATTTCGCTTGAGGAGAAATGCCAATCACCGACTCCCCGCCTCCCAAATCCAAACGAACGGCGGGTGCATGCATCTCTTGTGCATCGAATGAACGCTCTCTCGCGTTACGTGAAGGTACAAGTCTCAGGGCTTAATTATACCTCTTCCTCCCGTTCTCGCCGGCTTCTTCTGCTCTTCTTGTTCTCCGCTTCTCGCTTAGCTTGTCTCCATCCGCGTTTCAGCCTTCTTTATCTCCAAACTCCGATCATCCTTTCACCTTCTTGTCTGTCCTAATCTCCTACTTGGTTTTTTTCTGTGTCATCTTTGCGAGGCATCGACTCGCCCTTCCCATCCCCTCAGTTCCCCTCCAATCCATGTCCTTTCAGGTGGTGGATCTTGCATGATGGGTCTTCTGAGCCGACTTCGCAGACATTCCTCCAGGAACCACAGTGCGGGGAATGCGGCCACCTACGACCATCTCCGCACCGACATCGACGCCTATCCCCGATCGACCTCCAACCAAGACTTGACCAAATCCCTCCCACGACCGATTCTGCATCGTATCTTCGCCGCCGTATGTCCACACACCGTTGATGACAGCTATGAAACATCGGAGGAGTCCATGACTGAGGATGGTTGCATGCTCTGTGACATGCGCGACCTGGCCCACTGCGCATTGGTCTGCCAGCGCTGGTATCTGGAAGCCCGGGCTTTACTGTAGGTACCAGCGACCATCTTCAGCGCAGCACACGTCTAACGAGTTGTTTTTTCTTGCTTAGATACTCTCACGTCCGCATTGACCCCGTCCATTACTGCGAACTCGAAGTGGAACTATCCGCCAAACGAAAGCGACGCTCGTTCATGAATCGCAACGGGGAAGCCATCGATGCGCCCCAGGTCCGGCTCCGACTCTTCATGCAGACCGTGCGAGAATCGTCCGATCTGGGACATCGGGTTCTCTCTCTCCGCATGCCATACATGACTCGCGAGGCGAGCAAAAGCGAAATAGCCCGCACCATCTCCGTCCTGCCAAACCTCCGCTATGTCGACCTCCCCGCCGGAATCTTCAGCGACGACCCCTCGTGCCTGGCCTTGAAGCAGGAGCTCATCGGTCGGTGCCAGGATCTTCGCCGGATGAGCTACCGACACGGGGCCGAGGGCAGCTTTTCGCAGCTGCCCGACTCCCCGCTCTGGGTGAATCTGGAGGTCCTCGAGCTGTCCCGGCTGCAGATCGAGCCGCACATCCTGCGGATGGGCCTCGCCTCCTTCTCCCACCTCCGGGAACTCACCCTCGACGACCTGCCCTGGCTCGACGACTCCGCCTTCGCGCCCTCCGATACCCTCCCCGCGTTCCCGGCCGTCCAGCGCCTCACCCTCCGCGATACCCCGAACGTCACGGCAAGCGGGCTTGTCGACTTCTTCTCTCTGCCCCTCAACCGCAAAACCCTGCACTCCCTGACCCTCTCCGCCACCGGCGTCCTCCCGGCGACCTACCACCAGATCCTCTCCGTGGCGCCGCAACTGCGCTCCTTCTCCGTCAACCAGGAGGTCACCCGCTCGTTCCCCGTCGACACCACCCGCGTGCCCCCGCTCGCCTCCCGCTCCCTCGCCCTCCTCCACTACGAGATCACCTCCGCCGCCAGCCCCAAAACCGGCACTCTCCCGCCCATCGCCGCCTCCTACTACACCTACCTCATCTCCTCGCTCATGTCCCACGCCCTGCCCGCGCTTCGCGACCTGTACGTGCGCGATTCGACCTTCCCCGAGACCCTGCTGCTCGCCCCGCCTCCGCGTCTGCTCGGCGGCGGCGGCGAGGGCGCGCTGGGGGCCCCCCAATTCTTCCACGGGGGCCTCTCCCAGCCGCTGAACGTCTACAGCAAGGGGCTCGACGAGCTCGAGTGGAACTTCACGCCGTACGAGCCGCCGTCGACGCGCGGCCGCCGCGCCAGCACCACGCGGCCCGTGAGCTTCCACGACGCCCAGCTGAGTCGCACTTGGGGCGGCGACGCGCGCAAGAGCGTCCTGGTCGGGAACGGGTTTGGCGGGTTCCTGGCCGTGCCGGTCGAAGATGATGACGGTCGGCCCAAGAGTAGTGGGGGCTGGCGACGCGATAGTCGGCAGGATCTGTGGCGGTGAGCTGCGGCGGCGGTGGTCATGCTGTATGCTTGTGGGTAAACGTACGGATAATGTTGTAATGAGGTCAATTTGACCTGGACTCTTGGGTCGTTGTAGTAGATGTGGATCCCCTACTGGCTGTCTGTGACACTGGGGTTGGACAGGTTCCTATTTAGGTATTTACTCTATTTTTCTTTCTCTCGATTGATTTCCCTCCGTCGGGATTGGGTGGAATGGACATTTGGAAGTGGTTCCGGAAAATATCAGGATATGTTTTTACCACCGAGTTGAAAACTATGAAGATAGAAACATCGATTGTGTCACCATCAACCTCCGGCTCTTTCATACCGTGCTCCCATATTCTCCCTTCTGCTGAAGCCCACCTTACAATATACTGTCTGTGCGCTAGGATCAAGCAACCTACCACTTCCCAACTATTTGAGGCACTACCACCCAGCCGGAGATTTTTGAAAAGAAGAAGTGATCAACAAACATCCCCCACCACGAGAATAGCAGCATCGTGAGGCGCCAACTTCACACTATACTTATCCCGGACACACCCCAGATCATTGCCCGTCCAGGCATTCCGCACCCGGAACCCCGTCCCGCGGCGCCCGCGATGTTTCCCCTGCAGCTCGGGCACTTCCTTCCAGTACGCGGTCCGGGTCTGGGCGCGATCCTCCGAGTTCAGCATCAACACCAGCGTCCCGTTGAGCGTGGACGACGGCCCGGACCAGTACTCGGCCGGGTGCAACGGGTCGAAGGTCCAGTCGGCGTTGTAGCCCCATTTGTAGGGGTAGGCGGGGCGGCCCACTAGAGGGTCTTGGTTGAAGGCGAGGAGGTCCTTGTTGCTCAGGATGGCCAGGTGGGCTGCGTCGATCGAGTCCAACTTTTTGTACGCAAGAAGTTAGTTCTGGGGCAGTGGATGAGGTTTCTGGGGGAGAGGGGGGGAATTTTGTTGTTGTTGGGGGTAGAGGGGCAAAAACATACAGGAGTGCCAATAATCAGAGGGCTCTTCATGATCGCCCAGAGAGCGAAGTGGGCGCGGTTCTCAGCCAGCGTCAGGTTTCCATTCCCAACTTCCAGCATATCCGGGTCCGGGTGGCCCCAGAAATTGGCGTAGTTCATGAGCAAGGAGTTTTCGTTGGCAATTTCAGCGATGCGGGTCCAGTTCGCTGCATTCTCTGGTTAGTGCTTAATTCTTGAAGCGGAATGGAAGGGGAAAAAGGAGGAGAACGAAGATAGAGGATGAGGTTAGAATGGAAAGCCGGTGCTGGGAAAGAGAAGGGAGTCCTACGTGTAATGTCGCCCGACATGCGCCACGAATTGCCGGTTGCATT